GTTGCACTACAGCTGCAGACTCGCTAGTTCGAAACTACAAAGCCTAAGCGTGCTTGCGAAAAAAAAGTACGGCGCATTTGAATATCTTCGAGTGTATAACTGATAATGTAATGAATGTTTAATATAAATAAGACTTAAATGGTACAATATCCCAAACTTGGGTTGTTCTGTTGGTCAAGCTTTTTTAGCTTTAGACGAAGATGATAACAGCAGTAATCAAACGTCTCGGACTGCGACACCCGCTGAAATCTGTTAACTACCTGCCCCACAGCGACGTGGAGTATAAGTGGCTCTGGGTCGTTTCTAAAAAACCAGTACATATGAGCATTAGAGTGGGAGTACGACATAATCTTTATACGAGCTGACATGTAACTGCCCGGTAGCCTTACGAATGATTTAGACGCTGACCTCATCGAATGGACTAAAACGCTTAAAAACAGAATAACGAAGAAATAGCTGCACAGTGACTAAATAATATTTTACAAACGATAGTAAATTCGATGGTTTCAATATTTCCTAAAGAATAACTGTATATTTTATTTTATTGTATATCTGCAGCATACAAAGTGCACCGCTCTACCTTGGATAGCGAATCATATATGTCTCTAAGCGTAGAATATGTATATAATGAAACTGATGGTATTAAGAATGAAAAAAATATCCAGTTACAGCTGTTAGTCCAAATGCAATGTGTACATAATGGCTCATGTAATTAAACGACCCGGATATCAAAATTAAATTTACCGTCAGTGATAAAAATGCACTGTAAATATATTAAACAAATCGAAAGAAGCACTGTACTTCGTTTTGGGCTTTAACGGTAATTTGCAAAATATGTATCAGCACGTACCCAAGCAGCAACTGATCTCTTGTATCTTGAGCAACGTAGACGTAATCTCGAAGATAGGCCTTAGGCTTGTACCCGGCAGCGAGAGCCTTCTCCTCCGACATGATAAGACATGCAGAAGCGCCGTCGCTCTGCAGAAAAATAAGATTACTGAGTCATAAAAGAAAATAAACGTAGGAAAACTCAGAAACCAGAAAACTAGAATTTGCAGGAGTAGCAGAACCAATGATTTTTCGAAACACTGGCTTCAACTTGCTAATTTGCTGCATGCTCGAATGACGAATTCCATTGTCGAAAGTAACGGCTTCCTTCAGTCCTAAAGGCCAAACGAAGAAGGGCAGTAAATCATGCTGAGATAAATAAAATCAAATTTTTCAGTCAGGACATCGGCAGATGTTTGCAAAACAATAATGGCCTAACAACATGTCCGCTTGTTAAACACTGCTCTTAATTTATTTAATACTCTTTATAGAGTCCTGAGGTCAATGCTTTCCTATTCTTCAAACAGGCTAGGTAAGTTAGTAGAATGCTGGACTCGCAATCAAAGGAACATGAGTTCGAATTTCGACCGGATCACTCGCCTTTCATTCTTCTCAGAAATATAAATCAGCACCACTTAAACCATCGTGAAAAAAAGCAGAGTACAGCGACTACCTAGCTGTAGGGAGAGCCCTCAAACGATAAATCACCCCTGGCTGATAATACTGAAACGCAGATAAATGCCGCACTATGAGTTCCATGAAATATGAGCATTACAAATACTACCTATCATGGAACCGCAAGGCAGATCGATGTGCCAACGCAGCATTCATTCCGTTCGATCTCACTTAAATTAGATCTCGTACAACAAGCAGTGCTACATACAGCCATATAACCTAGCGTGGTAGAATTATGCTGTGTTCAATAACTGAATTTCAATATGTAAAATGCATATGAAATTAGAGTTTAATAGCAGGTAAAATAATTTAAAAGTTCTTAAATCCTTCGCATATCTGCCAGAGGTCGTCGAAAAATGACACTGAACAACAACAACAAAATGTCTTTTCCATAAAACCAGTCTCGCTTTCATATAATTGAAAGCGCTTAAAAGTAAAAGAGCTCAAAGATAAAAGCAGGCGATCTAGTGTGAGACCTAATGTTCTGAAAGTGGAGTGTATTTTTCTAATACCTAAAGGCATGAAACTGTTGGTTAATGAATCAATGGAAACCGAACTCTGAGAAATCACCTCGCACCTTTAGGATTAATCTATTTAGATGACTAGCTCGAACAACAACTCTGGACAGGCGGTCTCTGGACCAAAGTCCGTATCACGCTTGGAACAGAGCAACTTGAATATGTAGATCACTTTTCTGCAGATGAGAGCTCTACTGATATTACTAAATAATACTGATATTACAAAGGCGACAATGTAGGAGCTGCTTTCTTCAATCGCTATGGTAGCTCTCATGACTTGATACAGCCTTACAACAATCGACTAACGAGATTACGCATGAAATAACTCGGTAATGATGGAACAGCAAGCGAAAAACTCGTCTTAGAGCATGAAGAACCCTTAAAGTAAAAGTGAACAAAAACAGACATCCTGCAGCGATACATGTTGCCAGCTTCCGAGCAGAGGGAAGTGTTAAAAAGCTTCATTTCTAAAATTTGTTCGAGCGTTTCTATTCTTAAAATGGAAGTTCGAGCAAATGTAATCACAAATCCAAGTTCTGACAGACTGAAACTGCCTATAACCAGTCGTGACAATTAATTAAAAACTTTTGATTGTCCTGCATCGAAAATAATATCAAAGGTCACCTAAAGAGCACGAAAACTTCAACAAGAAATTTACCTGGAACAACAACCGGAATGATATCGGTCATTTTGCCGTTGCGAAAAGCGTCGAAAGCCAGTGTATGACTTCGAATGGCGTACTCGTCCTGAAACTCAAGCCAAATTAAGCTTGCAGATTAACAGAGCAACGACACATACCTGCTCTTTTCTAGAAATGTTAAAAGACGTCGCCAATCGATCCCCTGACTGCCCCATCGTTTCGTTGGACGAAAACTCGGTGGCGGAAGGAAACTGAAACAGTTAGTCACATACATGAGAACAAACCAATCATACAGAAAATGACCTCGATCGTCCAATTCAGCGGATTCAGCAGCTGAATAAGGTTTTTTACCTTATCCGTACTTTTACTCTTGTTGTAGTCCAGCAAATGTCGTCTAAGTTTCCGACCAATGCGAATGGGAACGTCGCTCATGGTATCAACGCCGCCCGCTACCGTTATCGAACAATGACCTGAACGGACCATTTCCATACCTAATATGTAACAATTTATATGTGCAACAAATAAACAGTAAAATTGGATTAACAACATTCTTCGCTGAAAGTTACAAGAATTGTCACAATTTTCACAGGTTTTATAAAGACTCCATTTCTAGCAAAAGGAAGGTTAAACAAATATGACAAATATGACATTTATGACAAATAGCTACGCGTAAATCTACGGCATTTTTGTCAAGAATCATTTTTGGTCAAGTAAAAATTTTGCAGTTTCAGTTAGGTTTGAAGCGTGAATGCAACGCACGCATTCACGGAATTCGATAATACTAAATATAACAAAACTGACCGACTTAAGATTCAAAGGAGTTGCCTTCATGATCCATGGACTACCTGATATTTAAGAACAAAGTTACAACAGTTTAAGAACAAAGTTTGGTTTATGAATGACGGCTGCAAATTTGTTACATGCCGCTTACCACTGGAACCAGTGTTAGATTCTTTGCCTGCAGAAAATTTAGCTACAACTACTGCCTGATTTTCAGGACCTCTACTTATCACTAATGAATAAGTGAAAACGAAATGCACCAAGAAAATAAACTTTCTTCCTTTCATTGTATACTTTAACCAAAGTTAAAAATTTCTCAAAGTTCCTAATCTCCAGTGTTCATTCATTCGCG